ACATGTATTTTCATATTTTAGAAAAAGAATAATACTATATTTACAGTGTTTCTTCCAGACTTTTTTCTCCAGGGGCGCACGCGCACTTGAAATTTTCGGGGGGGGGGGGGGGGGGGGGGGGGGGAGGGTGCGGACTCAAAATTCCGGGGGGGGGGGTGGAGGGCTGACACTGTTAAAAGTATATATTTTATATATAAATTCCATTTCGTTCTCCCCCGCCGCCCCCCCCCCCCCCCCACCCACCCCGCGAGGAAATGCCTGGAAAGAAACTCTGTATATTTATGCTAGGGTAGACTGCCAACAATATAGTACTTTGAAATCGTTCGGATCCCGGGGTCGATTCCTAGCACGTCTTTGAACCCCCAGCTTTCATTGGTAAAAAAAGCTAAAGAAACCTCTTTAGACCTAGATATCCATCGGGCCGATGAAGTAGAGTTCATTAAGCATTTTGACCTCGGCCTATGAAGTAAAGGTGTGTTAAGCACTTTGCTTTCCTTAACATGAGTTATGAATCCATAAGAGATTTGTGGACTCAGGGACTTTCTACTGACTTGGACCCGGATTTGAATTTCATAAGGAACATAAAGGCGTCTGCGTAGAAAACTGACCACTTTGTTACTAAATATATCTAGGTCACGAAAACAGGTAAACTCTTAGCACTGCCCTATCGACGTTATGGTATATTTAATATTTTTATTATATTGTTAATTATGTTAATTATGTTTTTAATGCACTCAGTGATATTTGACCCAGTCACTGATACATTATATATGTTTCAATTGTGTTTTTAATGCTGTCAGTGACACGTTATTTGTGTTTCTAATGCTGTCAGTGACACGTGAAGTAAGTTTAAATGCTGTCAATGACACGTCACTTATATTTAAAATACTGTCAATGACATGACACATGACTTTGACGACGACATCGCCATGACACTTGTTCACAAGAACGCCTTCAAGTCAATACTTCACGGAACCCTCCCAAGTAGTGTTTCAGTCTTCACCATGTGCCGGGTATCTGAGTAATCGATTGAAGAAAAAAAAACCCACCCTGAGATTGTGCGTTTAAAAAGGAATATTCGATTGGGATTTCAAAGCGAAGAATGGCAGTGTCCCCTTTTAGTTGTCTGTCTCAAGTTCCCCTGACATTTCAAGTCTGTTATTATAACACTTTTAAGTTTTTTGTATAATTTTAAACTGGATTCAATACAACACATTGTGGTTTGTAATTTTATGGTCGCCCCCCCCCCCCCCCGTCTACAGCCCTTAACTTCTCTGTGAGGGTGGGGATTTTAAGAGGCCGGAAACGAATGAATCCAATAACACACAGTTCAAGTTCAACTATAATTGTTCTTTATTAAAATGATATATATGTTCAAGTTTCTACCTAACTGATCTACACTGTACTACTTCTATCTGACTGTTTCATTATACCACTAACTACGCACTCCCATGACCAATCCTAACACTAACTGTTCTCTACATTCTACAATCTAACACCTTCTACCTTCGCTAGCTAATCATGATCTCACTATCTACATTCTCGGCCGTCTCTGCCTCTACCTAACAACTCCTGGCCTATCGCTCTACTGCCCCACGCCTCAGTGGTCAGCTGACCGTCCCACGTGACCGTCAGCCCTGTGCGCCCATTGGCCTCTCTAACCAACCAACTAGGCCTATAGTCTGTTTCTGCTAACCTATATCTGCTAAACATGTCTGACGTAATCTTGCGTCATCACACTCTCCGAACGAAGTAGAACTTACGTAGAAAATATATACCTTTACCAGTGCACCCCCCAATCGGAAATTTTAGTCTCCCCCCCCCCCCCACACACACAAAACTTTAACTTTAGCATAGTGTCAAGGTAAAATATAAGTTTCGTTTATAAAATCAACTACACGTACATGACAAAGTAGGTATTATCATTTGGATTAGATAAACTTGTAGATTTGTAGATACAGAGGCGTAGCGAGGGGGGGGGCGGGGGGTGCGGACCGCACCGGGTGACACCATTTAGGGGGGGTGACACCAAGGCAAAAAATTAAAAAAATAGCAAAATATATAGAGAAAAACTTGACGGGGGTTTGCAAATCGAAAACTTGAGGGGGGGGGGGGTGCAAATCGAAAACTTGAGGGGGGAGGTGCAAATCGAAAGCTTGAGGGGGGGGGGGTGCAAATCGAAAGTTTGAGAAAGGGGGGTGGGGGGGAAATCGAAAATTTGAAAGTTTGTCCCCGGGAAGGGTCGCTACGCCTCTGGGGGGTGACACCATTAAGTGCCGCACCGGGTGACACCCGACCTCGCTACACCACCGTGTAGATGTAACATTTATTTTCATTTTCTTCCGACATATTATTATGAACTATTTCTATAAGTTCTTGTTGTGGTTGTATTATGCTTGGAGTCAGTGTTATGTATTTTCTTTGTAAAACTAAGGAAAGTGCTAAAGAATGTCAAGTGAATAAGAAAGAAAAGTGTAAAAAAAACAAAGAAAAGTTTTAAAAAATAAGGAAAGTATAAATACAAAGGAAAGTCTAAAAAAAGGAAAGTATAAAACAAAGGAAATGCTAAACAAAGGAAAATGTAAAACAAAGAAAAGTGTAAAAAACAAAGGAAAGTCTAAAAAAAATAAGGAAAGTATAAAACAAAGGAAAATGTTAAACAAAGGAAAGTGTAAAACAAAGTAAAGCGGAAATTAAAGTAAAGCGCAAAAACAAAGGAAAGCACAGAAACAAAGGAAAATGTAAAACCAAACATATTATGAGCGCTGATGTTAAGCAATGTGACAGTGCTATATCAGAGGATGGATTCAATTAAATTACTTAATTAAAAAACATCGTTATGTTTGATTAACCACAAATTTATATGTAATACAATTATTGGAGACAGAGCAGTGAGCAATCAATATTTATAAAAATCTGTTTTTGTTTGTGATTTACGTAGTTGCGATTTTTTTGTTTTCTATTGATTCCAGAGATAGGAATAGACGAATTATTTTTACATTTGTTTTCATATTACAATACATTAATTGGCGACACAGTAGTAGGTTGTATTAGTGCATGTGTGTGTGTATTTGTGAATGTTTGTATTATGTTTTCATATCACGTTAATCAAAGACACGGTAATAGTGTGTGTGTGTGTTTTCGTGTATGTGTGTAAGTTTTGATTTCATATTTAGTAATCAATACCAGATAAATAGGAAGTATTAATGTATTTGTGTGTCTGTGTGTGTTTGTATATTAATTATCATCTACCTTAATAGATGAGACTGTAATCGTATGCATTAGTTTGTTTGTGTCAGTTTGTATGGTAGTTTTCACATAACATAGCGCAGTAATAGTGTGTATTAATGTATGCATGAACTTACTCTATTAATGACATAGTACTGTGCGCGAAGTACTCTCTGCGTGTGTTCATTGTACTTACTGTGTGGATGATTGTGTGTTCGTTTGTGTGTGTATACATGTGCTCACTCTATGAATGATTAAGTACCTAGAGTGTGTGAGAGCAACATCATACTTTTTGTATGATTTAATGATGTTGTGTACTAAGTTGTGTAGGGCTATTTTACTCAATGATGTTGTGTACTAAGTTGTGTAGGGCTATTTTACTCATTGTGTGAATAATGGTGCTGGTTTGTGTGTGTGTTTGTCTATGTGCTCACCCTAAGGCTAATTCAGTGCTGGCTGGTGTGTGTGTTTATGTACTCACTTTCAGGCTGATACAGTGCTCGTGTATGCGTCTATGTACTCAATCTAATGCTAATTCAGTGCTGGTGTGTGTGTGTGTGTGTTTATGTTCTCACTCTACGGTTGATATATTACTCGTGTATGTGTATAAGTACTCATTCTAAGTCTAATAAAGTGCTCGTATGTTTGTCTATGGGCTCACTCTAACGCTAGTTCAGTGCTCGTATGCGTGTCTATGTACTCAGTTTAAGCCTGATATATTGCTCATGTATGTGTCTGTGTACTCACTCTAATAATAATTCAGTGCAGGTATGTGTGTGTGTGTGGTCTATGTGCTCACCCTAAGGCTAATTCAGTGCAGGTTTGTGTGTGTGTGTCTATGTGCTTTTTAAGGCTAATTCAGTGCTGGTATGTGTGTGTGTGTCTATGTGCTCACCCTAAGGCTAATTCAGTGCTGGTATGTGTGTGAGTGTGTCTATGTGCTCACCCTAAGGCTAATTCAGTGCTGGTATGTGTGGTGTGTGTGTCTGTATGCTCACCCTAAGGCTAATTCAGTGCGGGTATGTGTGTATGTGTGTCTATGTGCTCACACTAAGGCTAATTCAGTGCTGGTATGTGTGTGTGTGTGTGTTTATGTGCTGACTCTACGGCTCGTGTATGTCTATAAGTACTCGCTCTAACTCTAATAAACTGCTCGTATGTTTATCTATGTACTTACTCTAATGCTAATTCAGTGCTGGTGTGTGTGTTTATGTACTCACTTTCAGGCTGATACAGTGCTCGTGTATGCGTCTATGTACTCAATCTAATGCTAATTCAGTGCTGGTGTATGTGTGTGTTTATGTTCTCACTCTACGGCTGATATATTACTCGTGTATGTGTATAAGTACTCATTCTAAGTCTAATAAAGTGCTCGTATGTTTGTCTATGGGCTCACTCTAACGCTAGTTCAGTGCTCGTATGCGGGTTTATATACTCACTATAAGCCTGATATATTGCTCGTGTATGTGTCTGTGTACTCACTCTAATAATAATTCAGTGCAGGTATGTGTGTGTGTGTCTATGTGCTCACCCTAAGGCTAATTCAGTGCTGGTGTGTGTGTTTATGTACTCACTTTCAGCCTGATATATTGCTCGTGTATGTGTCTGTGTACTCACTCTAATGCTAATTCAGTGCTGATGTGTGTGTGTGTGTTTTTGTACTCACTTTCAGCCTGCTATATTGCTCGTGTATGTGTCTATGTACTCACTCTAAGCCTAATATATTGCTCGCGTGTGTATGTCTTTAAGTGTGTGCGTCTGTTTATACTCACACTGCACGGTTTCCTTACAGTACACAGCGCACACTGCGACAGTTAAAAAAGCAAGAAGAACTGCTATCGACCCGTGTTCCATTCTTTAGTGCTGCAACATAAGAGAAAATAAAAGAATACATTAAATACAACTAATTTTTTTTTAAACAACTAATATGTTTGAAACGATCGTGAATTCTGACAAAGCTTAGAAGTCGAGGGTAGCGTCTATGAACAGGCAAGATTTTTTTACATTTAAACTGAAAGGGGTTTTACAACATGCATTTCTTATATAATTTAGATCAATAGAGAAACGTAAAATAATCAAATTCAGATCTAGCTTGTTTATAAGAAAGTGTACATACAAGCTTATTTGACAAATTACGTTATATACTTAAGGTATTGTTTCAAAAATACTAAATATTAAACAAAAAGTAGGTTTTTCGAGCTTCATTTTTATTTCTAATTTGATATAAATATTTTAAATATATATTTATATTACAATTGTTTATATATATTCCCACCTAAAGGATAAATAATAATTGAATTAATAAAATATTCTTTAAGAGCTTTATTTAATTATTGGTTTGCTTAAGAAAACTCATCAGTGGCTTTGTAAAATTCATGTTTAAAACAAAACCAATTTACTTGAGTAGACCATAATCACTGTTTAAGCTAGACACACATACATAAACGAGAGTACATCCATCATTGCATACACATGCACACACACACACACACAAACACGTAGATAAACACGAGTACATCTCCCATTACAGACACAAACACACACACACACACTTATACATGAAAACGAGTACTACTCCCACTTCAGACATAAACACACACACACACACAAACACACACACACACACACAAACAAAAAAACACACGTACGCAATGTACACACACGGAAGCCAGTACATAAAAGCGCCTCGTACTTAAGCTTCGCGTGTACCCCACAACCGCTTTACATTAATTACAATTACAATTTTCTTTTAAAGCATCCACTGGAATTTTGTCAGAAACAAATCCCACGTGGTTGTAGGAAATTAATGGATTATAACCTGCCATCCATCATTCTAAAATTCCTTCAATAAACGTGACACGCATAATTTATTCTGTGAAAAAAAAATATGTGCATCTCTTAAATCCGTATTTTACTCCGTCTAGACGAATATTTTATTAACAGAGGCAAGTTGACGCTGAGGTATATGTCACGTGATATGTCAACCCAAATCTTATGCGATATTTTCACTATTTTCTCTAGTGTAATGTCACCCATTTCTAAAATGATATGCTCACCTATTTCGAAGATGATATTTTCACCTATTTCGAAGATGATATTTTCACCTATTTCGAAGATGATATTTTCACCTATTTCGAAGATAATATTTTCACCTATTTCGAAGATGATATTTTCACCTATTTCGAAGATGATATTTTCACATATTTCGAGGATGACATTTTCACCTTTTCCGCAAATGATATTTTCACCCATTTATCAAGTAAAATATTCACCCAATATCTTATGTGATCTTCTACACTCTTTTTCGCTGTTTGTGGGACAGCGTGGTCGAATGGTAAAGTATTTAGCTGCTACACAAAAGTCTCGAGTTCGGATCTCCGTCCTGATTTAGTGACTAGGAAGTCCCTGAGTCCACCCAGCTCTGATGGGTTCCTGACTTGCATTGGGGACACAAAGACGACAGTGCTGATCATACTATCCTTTCATATGCCGTGGTCACGAAACATAAACTCTACTTCATCTGCCCAACGGATCCTTAGGTAGGTCTAAAGAGGAACTTTACTTTACTCAAATTTTAAGATGTCACACCTACTCAACCAACAACGAACTGCAGGGTGTATTTTATCATCTTTTTAAATCAAAATCTTCAGAACTAGGGTCAGAGTCGTAGCGATCCTTCCCGGCGCCCAGGGACAAACTTTCGATTTGCACCCCCCCTCGAACTTTTCATTTGCACATCCCCTTCAAACTTTCAATTTGGCGCCCCCCTAAGGTTGGCGCCCGGGGACATATGCCCCCCCCCCGCTACGCCTCTGACTAGGGTAAAGAAATATAACTAGCCTTGTCCTACACCTTAAATATATCGTAATCACAAAAAAACCATCCATACATTTTCATTTCAAGAAACCTTGTCATTTATATATATATATATATATATATATATATATATATATATATATATATATATCTATATATATATATATATATTTTAAGCATCCTGTAATCTCTATTTCAATTTCTCATTAAATATTTATCAGATTCAATATTTTTGCATTCTATTTGAACACTTGAACACTATTTCTGTGACCTTTGGTATTAAAAGTGATAGTGTTACCGATTCGCTGCGGTAGAAGACATCGTCATTAGTCATACATTGTTTTCACGGAGATAAATCAAACAAGGGAGGGAACAAAATATTTCCTTAAGGGAGTTAATTATACTTAAGTTAAGTGCAGGGCATCATAAAACCACAAGACACAAATCAATATCATATGCTGGTAAAATACCACAATTTAATGTAATAAAATTTGTTTGTAGTAAAAAGTCAATTTAATCTTATTTCTATGATAAAACTTCTCAAAACATTATAGTATTCAAGTATTACGTGCAAGAAATTATTGACATAAAAGAAGAAATAAATACAAACAACTGTCTATGATCAACTGCTATACATATCAAGACAAAGATGTTTTGTTTATATAGATCTCTATATAGATATATATATATATAATTTTTTTTTTAAAAATGTATGTATATATATTTATATATATCTATATCTATCTATCTATCTATCTATCTATCTATCTATCTATCTATCTATCTATCTATCTATCTATCTATCTATCTATCTATCTATCTATCTATCTATCTATCTATCTATCCTATCTATCTATCTATCTATCTATCTATCTATCTATCTATCTATCTATCTATCTATCTATCTATCTATCTATCTATCTATCTATCTATCTATCTATCTATCTATCTACTATCTATCTATCTTCTATCTATCTATCTATCTATCTATCTATCTATCTATCTATCTATCTATCTATCTATCTATCTATCATCTATCTATCTATCTATCTATCTATCTATCTATCTATCTATCTATCTATCTATCTATCTATCTATCTATCTATCTATCTATCTATCTATCTATCTATCTATCTATCTATCTATCTATCTATCTATCTATCTATCTATCTATCAATCTATCTATCTATCTATCTATCTATCTATCTATCTATCTATCTATCTATCTATCTATCTACATCTATCTATCTATCTATCTATCTATCTATCTATCTCTATCTATCTATCTATCTCTATCTATCTAATCTATCTATCTATCTATCTATCTATCTATCTATCTATCTATCTATCTATCTATCTATCTATCTATCTATCTATCTATCTATCTATCTATCTATCTATCTATCTATCTATCTATCTATCTATCTATCTATCTATCTATCTATCTATCTATCTATCTATCTATCTATCTATCTATCTATCTATCTATCTATCTATCTATCTATCTATCTATCTATCTATCTATCTATCTATCTATCACTATCTATCTATCTATCTATCTATCTATCTATCTATCTATCTATCTATCTATCTATCTATCTATCTATCTATCTATCTATCTATCTATCTATCTATCTATCTATCTATATCTATCTATCTATCTATCTATCTATCTATCTATCTATCTATCTATCTATCTATCTATCTATCTATCTATCTATCTATCTATCTATCTATCTATCTATCTATCTATCTATCTATCTATCTATCTATCTATCTATCTATCTATCTATCTATCTATCTATCTATCTATCTATCTATCTATCTATCTATCTATCTATCTATCTATCTATCTATCTATCTATCTATCTATCTATCTATCTATCTATCTATCTACTATCTATCTATCTATCTATCTATCTATCTATCTATCTATCTATCTATCTATCTATCTATCTATCTATCTATCTATCTATCTATCTATCTATCTATCTATCTATCTATCTATCTATCTATCTATCTATCTATCTATCTATCTATCTATCTATCTATCTATCTATCTATCTATCTATCTATCTATCTATCTATCTATCTATCTATCTATCTATCTATCTATCTATCTATCTATCTATCTATCTATCTATCTATCTATCTATCTATCTATCTATCTATCTATCTATCTATCTATCTATCTATCTATCTATCTATCTATCTATCTATCTATCTATCTATCTATCTATCTATCTATCTATCTATCTATCTATCTATCTATCTATCTATCTATCTATCTATCTATCTATCTATCTATCTATCTATCTATCTATCTATCTATCTATCTATCTATCTATCTATCTATCTATCTATCTATCTATCTATCTATCTATCTATCTATCTATCTATCTATCTATCTATCTATCTATCTATCTATCTATCTATCTATCTATCTATCTATCTATCTATCTATCTATCTATCTATCTATCTATCTATCTATCTATCTATCTATCTATCTATCTATCTATCTATCTATCTATCTATCTATCTATCTAATCTATCTATCTATCTATCTATCTATCTATCTATCTATCTATCTATCTATCTATCTAATCTATCTATCTATCTATCTATCTATCTATCTATCTATCTATCTATCTATCTATCTATCTATCTATCTATCTATCTATCTATCTATCTATCTATCTATCTATCTATCTATCTATCTATCTATCTATCTATCTATCTATCTATCTATCTATCTATCTATCTATCTATCTATCTATCTATCTATCTATCTATCTATCTATCTATCTATCTATCTATCTATCTATCTATCTATCTATCTATCTATCTATCTATCTATCTATCTATCTATCTATCTATCTATCTATCTATCTATCTATCTATCTATCTATCTATCTATCTATCTATCTATCTATCTATCTCTATCTATATATATATAAAATCATCTTAAATGAATGAACGTAGGCTACATGTAAGAAAGAAGTATTATTACTATCAGTCCTCACAAACCGATGATGAAAACAACACTCAAAAGAGCATGCAAGGCAAACTGACGCTGGTAAATTACATGTCTGAGCTAAAGTTTGTAACGTTTTACTGGCAACGATTGCTGACAGTCCATCGGTGATAGTCCAAGGGGGCGTCACAGTGTCCAACGATAAGGGACCGCTACCGGCAGGAAGAAAAAAAACTGCTACTAAATTTGTTTTTTTTTTAAATGGACAGAAAATATCGAATATCTTCCGTTTTGAGGTATAGTCAGGGGCATAGCGAGGGGGGGGGGCGGGGCGGGGCGGGGGGTGCGGACCGCACCGGGTGACACCATTTAGGCATGGTGACACCAAGGCAAAAAATAGCAAAATATATAGAGAAAAACGAGGGGGGGTGCAAATCGAAAGTTTGAGGGGGGGGGGGGTGCAAATCGAAAACTTGAGGGTGGGGGGGGGGGGCAAATTGAAAGTTTGAGGGGGGGGGGGGTGAAAATCGATAACTTGAAAGTTTGTCCCCGGGGAGGGTCGCTACGCCTCTGGGGGGTGACACCATTAAGTGCCGCACTGGGTGACACCCGACCTCGCTACAGCACTGGGTATAGTCCGATGTTTTATATGGCTATGTTGTTCATTTTCTTAACAGCATATTATACTTCATACACTTGATCTAAAATAATCCTTTACAGCCGAAAATATGAACATATGTATGTAGTAGGCTATGAATTACAATATAGGCCTACACCATCTCTTATAAAGTATCTACCAGGATAGTTTCATAAACATGATATAAAATGTATGAAGATTAATTCAATATATATATATATATATACTATATATATATATATATATATATATATATATATATATATATATATATATATTTCCCTTTATATTGCTTTTGGAAATTTTATCTCTCGAGATTAATTATCTAACAATCGGGGCCGGCGCTACCTATAAGGCGAACTAGGCGGTCGCCTTGGGCGCTGTCCGTAGGGGGCGCAGAAATCTGAAATCGCAATCATTAAAAAGTACTTAATAATTTATAACTTTGATTAGATTACATTAACTATACACAAAGGCGTAGCGATCTATTTAGGTGCACAGGACGAACTATCAATTTTGCGCCCCACCTTCAAATTAGACCTATATATAAGTGTTCGCGTTGGTGAAAATGCGCCACTTGAAATTTTCGGCGAGGGGACGGACAGTCGGACTAAAATTCTAGAGGGAGGGACACTGTTAAAAATATTTTTTTCTAAATAAATTCCATTTCGTTCAAGGGTGGGGGGGGGGGGGGGCTGTAGACTTTCTTATTATATATATATAATAAGGGGGCCCGAAAAAAAATTGCGAGGGGGGGGGGGCGTTTTAATAAGTTTTTCCTAAGGCGCTAAATAACTTGGCGACAGCACTGCTAACAATCTTAGTAGTAAAAAAAAAGGAAAAATAGCAACTTTTTCTCCGCGATAAATACACTGTACCCATTCTTCCAAAGTTGTTTACATAATAGTAACAGTGTAGTACTATTTGTCCAACCGGCTTTGTTAAAGGGGCAGATCACTGTGATTTAAGAGAGTCGTTTCCCTTGAGAGTATCAAGACAAACTGATGAGTTGAGGACACAGTTCACAACTGATCCACAGCTTTTCTAGTTCCTGTACTCAGATGTGTCAGTTTTAATTCACCCAACGGAGTTTTCCGATTGAACTACGGACACCAAACTTTTTCCCGATGTGTTTTGGTATCATGGGTTGGTGGTTTTGATGTTAGTTATGACGTAATGCAGCTTTTAAACAGTAAACATATTCGTCATGTCTACCCCATATAACTACATAAAACCAGTGTGTGCGTGTCGACATACATTATTTTCTAATCAATAATTATTAATTTGTCCAATTTTTTAAACTGATGAATATTTAGCTTTACCCTTTTAGCACTTGTCTAGCTAGAGTAATGAAACACTTTTGAATTAAAGTAGGTATGGTTGATTAGAATTCAATATTTTAAAACAAACAAGAATAGATACAGAGACTAGACTGTACTAAAATAAAATTTCATTATTTCGTACACAATCTAATTAATATTTACAAACTATTAAAATGTACTAACAGAAAGTTACACAAAACCAATATCCCTCACTATCTGATACGGCAGTAAAAAGAGTAAGCTCGGTTAATTCTTTAAGTACGGTAATTACAATTTGTACTTTAAAATCTGTAGGCCTACCCCATAGGATATTACGCAATAAAAAAAAAAGTTCGATTATTTCATTATGTATGGTTACATCACATTAAGTGCACAAGCCTAAACTATGAACTAACGATGCGTGCAGTAAAAACTTTATTCGGTTTTTTATAATAAATACGGTAAGAGTATTATGTTGTTTAAACTTTGACCAGTGTTTCTTTCAGACGTTTATCTACTGAGCCGGGGGAGGTGGGGGTTTAACTGAATTTTTTTTTTAGGGAGCGGACTAAAATGTTCTTTTTATGAGATGGAAAAAAAGTGTATAAGTAAAAGTATAAATATTTATAAAAAAGTATATATTTTATGTTTTATATAGAAATTATATATTCATTCGGGGTGGGGCGGTGTTTTTTTAGGGGTGGGGGTGTTGTGGGAGGGGGGGGCGAAGATATGCCTGAAATAAACTTTACTCACCGGTCTGTTATTTTATTAAATACGGTAAGACCATTGCACAACCCAAAATTTGAACTACCTGACACGGGCAATAAAAAAACTATAGACAAATAAATGCGCCATTAGGAGCACGGTGACGCCCCATGAAAGTTTCAGCGGAGCGCGCGGTGTGTATTTAGTACATACATATTTAATAAGCGGGTCACGTGATATCAGGGCAAACACGCGGTCGATAGTGATGCTTTGTTGTACATGCAGGCCTGGTGAGAAGTTGAAATCGCTAAAAGTTTTTTTTTTTTTTTTTTTTTTTTTTTTTTTTTTTTTTTTCGTTTTAGGTACTTTACTCACACACAGGTGCTTTCAAATGTTAGTTGTTTTTGCTTTGCGGGGGGTGCGACCGGAAGTGGTTCGTCCGCAGGTTACAGGTGGTTTTTTCAAGAAGTGGTTTTTCAACATTATTTATTGCGCACAGCGGCGGAGTTTATTCCAGGCATCTCTTCAGGGGGGGGGGGGAGCGGCACTATGTCTACCGCCCACCCCCCCAAAGGAATGGCATTTAAATAGAAAATATATACTTTTAACAGTGTCCGCCCCCCCCCCCCCCCACCGGAAATTTTAGTCCGCCCCCGCCACCCCCACCCCCGAAAATTTTAAGTGCCCCCCGGAGAAAAAAGTCTGGAAGAAACACTGCGCAGTGGTACGACGAACCTAGGGAATTTCTCCATAGGTTGATTTGATAACAATAATAAAGTGGTGTTTAGCGTGAACAATTATAGTATATTTAATGAACAGTTTTTGTATAGTGAAATACACTTAAGATGTATCAGTCCAATGTATTCTTGTTAGGGGGCGTCATCCATAAATGACGTCACGCTTCAGCCTAGCACCTCAGTTACATTGCAGTTTGTTTTTGAAAACGTCGATTTCTTTCTAAAATATTTACTGAGCTCGATCAAAATTCAGCATTGTGATCAATATCTATTACAATTTGGGGATACATTCTTCCAAAAAAGCAAAATAAAGACTTAAATTCAGTTTCTGGACATTTAAAATACAAAGTGTGACGTCACACTGTCTAGACCTCCCCCCCACCCCTCGCAATCTCTTCGTTACACATCGTCATCCAAACCCCACCCTTCCCATGGAGGAATAAATATCGAGATATAAATGTAAATTTGAACTCATACATAAATTAACTGTTACTTGGAACAAGATATGAATAGATATATTTACTAAGTTATAAAAGGAGATTCAAACTCACCTAACTGTTGATATTATGTATAAAGATATAAATAAAAAAATTATAAACGGAGATATAAAGTGGGGTATAAAGTGAGACAAAAACACAGACATGGAACAAAGCCTTAAAATGATCGTGAACCTTCGAGTGTAAATCTCGCTGAAAGGTCGAGATTTCACGGTTTAAACATGGGGTCACTGAGTCCACCCAGCTCTAATGGATGCTTGACATGCGATGCTGGCAGAAAATGGCAGCTGTGCGGTGCCATGACAACAGGTCAATTTTTGTATGCCCTCTTATGCCCTCGGTGTACTGTTATTTTTGACACTTAAGATAAAACACGCGAGACACAAACGGTTGTCTCGCTAAGTCCATATGTTTCAGCTTTAAGTACTTTTGCTTTCGTTAACACTACTGCTATTGTTGAAAGTGATGTAGTATATAAAATAACTTAAAGAAATCCTTTACAGTAGGCAGGTTTATACTCTACGAAATAAACGAAGTTCAACTATT